AGAACTCTCCAGCTCCATCATATGAGGGTTAGGGACACGTTTTGCAACTCTCTTAGGATATCGAAAGACTTCAATGTCATCATCACTGCTGCTACTGCGCCGGGATTGCGTTCCCGCTTCTTGCCTGCAGAGATAACCGAACCCAAAGTGGCACTTGCATCTTCCATCAGATCTATGTCTTCCTCTAAAAGATCAAAAGTAGGAACTCTCACCTGGTTGATCCCGCCGTGATCTATATCAAAATTAGCCGCCACTATGACAGGAGAAGCCGACCCTATCGCGTCTGGGTCCGCCATGGCAGCACATGCTCAGGAGCGGCAAACAAAGAAAGAAAAAAATAATAAAAAAATAAGTAGCAAACAAAAAAATAGGAAAACTAAATAGAATGTATGATTATGTGATTTGCTACAAATAAGGCCCACAAAAAAACAATTATCGGATGTCAAATCTCTTTAAATTATCAGGGAAAACGAACGATTGGCGTCGCGTACCCTAACAACCGAACAGCTATAGACACACGTCCGTCCGACAGCAGAACCCGTAACGGAATCCCGCAACCCAATAAGACAATGGAGCCTGGAAGGACCCGCACGATCCGCGAATACTGGAATTTCAAATTTTGCCGATTCCAAAAACCGCTGTAAAAAATGAGGGAAACGCGAATTTTAAGGCAAGGATGCTAATTTGTATCTTAATTATACGTAGAAAAATTAGCAAAGACTGGCATATTCACTTTGTGATACTGAAAAGGGCTGAACTTGAATCATGATTTGCTTCCGGCACCAATGTTATGAGGTCGTAAAATTCTTACATATAAGGAGTAGCGAAGAAATACAAACATGCAGTAGCGAAGATCGGAGGTAGAATGACAAAACCTGTTATTTGATTATCGAATGTTGCAATGATCTTAAGTTAGTACAAAAATATTCGTTAGAGAAGGTTAGCATTTGCAATTAGCTGGTTTTGCTCGAGTTTGTTTGGGGACTGTTGAATTTAAGATAACGTGATTGTCACAGAAAATTTGATAGCGTCTGAGCGACCTACCTATTGCTTTAATTAACTATGCGGTGGGGCTCTGGGGGAAGGGCGACAGTTCGATTCCCCGCTTGGGGGTAGAAAGTTTTTCAGAAATGCTTATTTCGTCAGAAGTCCCAGCCCGGGATTCGAACCCTCGACCTTCAGATCCATCCTACTAGCCCAAGCCGACGCCTTTAACCACTACACCAAACTGTCCCTAGAGCTAGAAAGTTGAAACTTCTATTTGAATTGCGTAACATCACCTAATAAATTATGGATTAATTTCACATGTAGTTTAGCTACTAGCCAGCTCCAAAAGCGAGGGTGACCTGAAAGAATTATTTGAAAGAAACATAAATTGAAAGTTAAAACAAAAAATTGATGAATCACTATGAAAAATGTGAATGTCATATTTAGTCTTTAGTTGTAGAGCTGGTGTTAGTTTTTCCTTACCAACGACAGGCCAACATCTTGGATTCCTCGCCCTGGACGCCTCCTCTCACCCTCGAGCCTGTAACTTGGCTACCAAAAATTAAGGGAATCATAGGAAGTATTTATAATGAGCGGGACGCGTTCTGTAGGCTGCTGTTTGCAACTTATTTTAGTCCTTTAGGCCTAAAACTTTGCAACCGTAAGCACATCTTTGGCAAGCATTTTATGTGCTAACTGAGCAAATGCTGATAACCTGTAATAATGGCTTCCGTGTAGGGGCAATTGCCAGCCGCCAATCAAATTGTTACGTTTTAAGGAATAGTTGAGGAATAAAAATGTTCGAGTATAGTAGATTTTAAGTAAGCTGTCTCTGGGATACTCGATAATGTATAAAAAATCTTAAGTCTACGGAATTTGCTCCTGAAATTTAACTACAAAATCAAATCTCGTCTGCTAGTCAACTATAGTGTCTAGAAGATATTGTAGCCAAGTTCAAGCCAAGTTACTTTCGTTACTAATTTTCAGACGAAAAAGATAAAATTATAGAATAAAAAGGAAGTGTACAGCATAAACGGCAATAACTGACATCTTTCATAGCAGCTTTCAGCATCTGCGTTCAATTTTCAACTCTCAAATTTTTAAATGCAAACCATGGACCATAATAAGCATTCCATTAATATAACCGGTAATTACGGCACTCCTACATCAATCAACTTATATAATTAATGTTCGATCGATGCACAATTCAAATTACGATAAATAATGATTGATACGCATTATAGTTAGACAAGTTCATATATACAATTTAATATAGAGAACAAATCAATTCATAAATTGCCATTGGACATTTTTTTCTTTTTGGAATGATTGATGTTCCATATCTTTATAGTCAGGAAAACACCCTATAATTTGAACACATTCAGTGTAATATTCCGACGTTCAATTCACACATAATTACTCTGTCACCATATTGAAATATTAAAGCTCAACGTACGTTGATTGAACATGCGTTCAGAAAATAAACTCACAGAGAAACTAGACTTTTAGCTTCTTTGTAGGAAAAACGTTTGACGATAATTTGCGAGGAATAATCGTTCAGAAACATTTGTTTCAATGGGGCCAGGAACTTTGTGGCAGGATATCAATAAATTGTACAACTTTATACTTTTGAGATAACGAAGCATCCCCTATAAGTTGCAAAATATGTCCATCTTGATATATTTACTCGAAACAAGGTCAATAAATCGTACCATGACCCAAAAAACGCCCGCAAACCGATAGAGACTGATGAGGCGACTGATATTTTAGCGATATAGACTGATATTTTAAATGTCTCCCTACACCAGGCTCTTATATGACTGTTATTTGTTTCGTTGCATTAAAAATTACAATTCTTGATGACGGGAACAAATTAAGATTTGTAAGATATTAGACCGAGAGCAGGACCATCGTTCCACCATTCTGCGCATCGTCGTGGCATACGCGCGCGACTAGACAAGAAATTCCTTGCGAAACATGCAGAAATTTTCAGTAGAGAAGAGACCCTTGAAGTTGACCGTAGCCTCGTTAATAAAATAAGTAAATCTGAAACATTTATGGCTGAAAAACTAAAACAAGGAATTTAAAAATGCTTTTAAATTCCTTGGTTTTAATATCGCTTTGTCGTTAAGCTTACAACCACACCGGATCAACATCCCAATTAGCTTCTATATAGCCTTGATCGATGTGAGGGTTGGACTGGGATTATCTTTCCCTCGAAAATATGTTTTTCCATATTTTTGGAATGCCATTATGTATTTCAAAATCCCTTGTTACCTCAAATGTTATTGTCATACATTATCTTTTCCTCTGTACGGCAGATATCGTCGCTATGTATTCGTACTTCACGAATTTGAACAGCACAAACATTTAAAAAGATTACCGATTATTTTTCTTTGAGTTGTTGCCTAAGCAAAGATTTCATTTAACTGTATATGAAACGATTATTCAAAATACGAAATGCTTCGAGATTAATACAGGTGTAGAATAAGGCTAGATCAAATGAAAATGGTGTATAGAACTAAAAGATTATTGCAGAAAATTTGGAAATAATTTTAGAACCAGATATATTTTCAATTATGAATTTAAAAATTAATTGTTTACAACTAGAGTATTTATAGAGAATTACGGGGAGAGACAGAAATCTCTTCCTTCAGAAAAGAACTAAAACTAATATACTGGATATGATATTGCCATAAAATGCACGCAATGAACTGGCTTTACATTTTATTGCAAATCAATTTATTATCACGCTTAATATAACGTAGTTCTTCCTACCTTATATTGCATGTCCCGGGTGATCGAGTTCGTGCATTTTCTAGGCATTTCCAATTGCTTTGTCCGGCTGGACCTCATTTGCAGTTAGCAGCGACAATTTGCATGCAAAGAAAAACGTATTTTCCTGAACCGAAGTCTTCACGGAAGCCTCGACTATCAATGAGAAAGTCTGGTAATTACAGAATTATTTATGCACGGGATGATCATGTCAGCGCCTGTTCGGCTTATCAAGTTTTCTTCGATCAAACTTCAATTGTTCGTCGTCAAACGACCAGGTTGTGTGCGTTGATTATACTCAACATGCTTTAGTTTATCGAATTTACTGATTAAGCATTGATAAGTTAGTAGTTTGAGGGTTAACTCAACTCAGCTAAGGTTCGTGGATGAGCATCTGCGTACGTATTGTCATTAAAAGTTTGGAGTTGCCATGCCAATGTATCGCATTCTGTATCATTGCCAAGTTCCTTTGTTTTACAACAAGAAATCTCGACCAATCAGAACAAAGGGCCGTTCACTTCCAGTCAAGTCACCAATTTTTGACATTTGAGCTGGTGCCACGTCCGAGACTCATGTGTCTTGTTGCTGATACGTAAGGATGATATGCAGTGTACAATGTTGGGTTTTGAATGTGGAGAAGATGTGATGGTGCCATATAACCGAATGTGAAATTTGTGCATTGATAGTCGACCGCATGTGATCTACTCTTAGATGGAAGTTGACCCTTTAGTGGGCAATCGATTAAGTACATGAACTTAAATTATCCGCGTTAAAAGCCGCACCTTCGTTTACTGCCGAAGCTACGTGAAGATGGCTCAAAGCTTGTCATATTTTCTAGTTCTATATAGAGGTAAAAATGAAATGTTTTTACATTTCTACGAACGTTCTCTTAAAGGTTAAAGCCACGTTTTATTTCAGACAAATCAGTTGTGCTGTTGATTTAATTGTTTAGGATATTATGAGATGCAAAGTCAATTAAATGTACACAGATGTCATTTATGGAAAATATTCGTCATTACATTTATCGAATCTTCCCTTTTAAATGAAGCGGCTACTCACTATCTAAATTTAAAAGCGTTGAGCACAGGGCAAACAATACTAGCACAAAGCAGTACAAGATGAGGCTTTCCCCCACTTTTACGCGTTGAAAAACTAGTGTAGAATCTTGGGAAATCCGGGAAAAACTCTTATTGCTTTCGCGGACGCGGAAAAATCCAATTATAACTTTTTCCATGGTTATTATATCAGATACTTTATTGTAGTGTCATTATACAATCCCGGGCAAATTTTTATAATAGACAACATGAAGACCAAACTTCTGATGACCGTCTTCGGAGCAGCGCAAGCGGTGATGTATGCGCGGGTCCCCAACGACACCGCGACGTTCATCAACAATTGTTTCTCAGGCTGCAGCGCTGCACGCAGGGCATTCTTCACGAACATTGTATTGTGCTCATTGTTCTGTCAGAAGAATGGCGGCGATATCTTCAGCTACGAAAATGGTTAGTGAAGGGAATAATATGATGCTATAGGAATATTTTCAATTTTGTTGAAGAAACAATGTTGGATAGATTATTATAAGAGATTTTCTCAGCACAGCGAAGGTGTCTACATGGGATAGAGGGTGCCCAACGAAATTTATGTGCCTAAAAATGCCCGTTTATATATTAAGCGGTAATATTAAGCGGTAATTATGCGAATACATATTAAATTAACTTAAAAGTTAACAGAAAAAAAATCTACATCCAATTTGAAATTTCGATGAGGTTTAAGAAGGTGGCAATTGAAGTAGAAGTGGTGTATTTGATAGACTAAATTAATGAGATGACAACAAAAGACGATATCCTGCTCACCATTGTCATCACTATCTTTGATTTAGATTTGTCCTCAAGTATCATATAGTTTCTATCGATAGGGCCAAATTATATTCTATCGATAATTTTATTAAAGCTGTTGATTGAAGTGATGATGAAGCCTGGTCCCCCATTGTTATGAATAGAAAGTGAATTTATTTGTTGTTATAATTTGTTAATAGTGAATTTATTTGTTGCTTTTTATGATCTTGAATTCATGGATAATTTGAGATTTAAGCAAGCTAATGATATAGGTGCTAATTTACTTGCCCTAGTCATTGGGAAATATAATTTTAATACTTTTCAACTTCATTATATAGGGGCTTATCTCGAGGACACGCATAAGCCTGAGCATGAACTTTTGAGGCGTAAAATAGTAAGTAAAATAATTCCCCTGAAGTTGTCATTCATACTCATTTCAACTGTTTAAATGTCACATTTCGAGTGTTAGCAAGCATTATATTAAATATGGCCTTCCAAGATCAAGGGGAGCTTACATGTCGGTCAAAAATCGAAAATTTTGGCTTTTCTGGTTTCTAGGCTCATTTTTTAGCTGCTGAAAATTGAAAAAGCGCGTCTAAAAGGCCCGTTCACACTAGGGGCAACACACGGGCGTCAAGCGCCTCACCGCCCCTCTGTGCAGCGTCTATATACGTGCGCTTCTTGTGGGGAACGAAGCGATTGACGAGCTAGCGATTCTCAGTCGCCCTGCCTCATGCAACACAAGCGCCGCACTCAGTGGACGGCTGTCCATGGTCTAGTGAGGTTGTTTGTTTTCGCTGGTCCTTCATAATGGCAACTAACGCCTCACTCGTTTGGATTCGTTCTCTATAGTTAAAGAGGCTAATTGATCTTTGTAGAGAGCATGAATGCCTGTAGAGAGTTCAGTCAAAGTAGTATAAAAGCCGAAATGCAAAAGAACAAAAGCCCTGGTGAAAATAGTCGGAGTTTTAAGAAATTTTGTGTACAAGTCACCATTGACGAGGTTCGTAAGAAAATTCATACGCATGCGTTCGCAATTGCATCGTGAAATGAATTTCATTGCATATGAATTCCATCATCCTGCTTCTGGAGACTGTCCTGAATTCCATCATCCTGCTTTAGCAGACAGTCAAACAAGTCCACTGGCAGTCTAGTATAATTTTGAAAGTCTGATGCATTCGCAACTGATAATTCTTTGAAAATATAATTGTGTAAATTGTGTTTGTGTAAATCCTAACAGCAGCACACCCGACAACAATGGTCCAGAGCTCCAATTCGGTTATATCCATCTCCACTGACGTCTAACTGGCATCTAATCTTCAAAGCGCGAGGTCTCCAGCTTTGAAGATAAGATGCCGGCGGTTTAGATGCCGGCGAGAAAAAAACCTCGCGGCGGTTTTTTTCACGCCGGCGGGATTTCCCCCCTGTGTGAAAGGGGCCTAAGGTAAACGGGCCTCTAACTGGCAACTAATCATCAAAGCGCGCGGTCTCGAGCTACTGCGTACAAAAATAAGTGTGAACGGTTGTGGGCGGTTAGGCGCTGCAGCAAGCGCCTCACCGCCCATATCGTTACCCCTAGTGTAAACGGACCTTATAACGCAACAAATCGCATGTATGTGCGTTTCGTTAGTTTATGCGAAAAGCAATTCCAAAAAAATATAAAATGAATATTTTTTAGCAATATGTACTAAGATTTCTATAAATTAAATCTGTATTTATAGATCATTAGTCTCGTTAATTGCAAAGTGTTAGAACTCGTTTGAAAGCTACAAACAAGACGCGTTCAACAAAGCAAATACCAAGAATGTACATGCAATAATTGTTGCGTAAGGCTGTTTTGAACTTTTATAAATGACCATTAAATATAACATTATTTAAAAATTTTCATTTAAAATTGTTATTTATAGATCATTATTCGCATTAATTGCGAAGTGTTTGCACTTGTTTGAAAGGTAAAACGATGCGCGTTCAGGAAAGCAAATACCACGGATGTACATGCAATGTTTTTTTGGTTAGGCCGTTTTGAACTTAGATACAATGAACATTTTTTTATTTGTATTAATGTAAAAAATCACATTTATAGCTTATTATTCACGTTAAACTGGACAGGAATAAGACTAAAGACACGTGTTCGTACCTTAAATGTAACCAATTGGCACGGGGAAAGCTTGGGCTACCATATCAAGCATCTTTTTGGTATATACATTTTTTTCAATAAATTTTACTTATTTGGCTCCCCTGAACAACTAAAATTTCCAAAATATGCCGTGATGGAAATTTTAGCGTGCGAATCTCGGAGTCGCGGAGCCTATTGCGAACCTTAGTGAACAAAAATATGTCATCTCCTATGATTTTCAAGCTACAGCATTGAGAGATATACCACTCGATTCGTAAATAAAATCTCTATAGATCATCCGGCAATTTTCTTTATTTGTATTTTGTTTCGATAATATATTGAAAAATGGGGTGGATGGGTAAAAATTGAGAAAAATAGAAATAATTAAAAAAAAGGAAAGGTTGCTCTGGAGATATGGTCTTTACACATCGAATGATATGTCTCTCGATGTTGTAGCATGAAAATCCTAGGAGGAGATAGATTTATACAGTACCCCCTTTTTTGCCATTTTCTATGAATTTCAAGTTTTTTCTTAATTTTTTTCGAAAAATTTACATGAACAAAAAGTCATGCATTGATATTTTACATATGTGTACCATGTTTCATAATGATCCGTCCGTAATTAAAATTTTTTTGACCGACATGCTCCCCTTAATTTGCGACTCCGGTTCCTCGAGTTCTAAAATTTTTCTTGCTCACTTGAGCTTCAATCCAAGTCCCAACTTGATTTTCTGGTCTGTGGTAAAATAACAAACCATGGATTTGCGCAGAAATTTCCAAGATGTCCCACTCTAGGATGTGTCATGTCGGAATGCTTAATAAAAATCTAAAAAATAAGTGTCAGGGTTTAAAGCGGAATATTTTCCAGTCCCTATAAAGAATTTTTAAACATATTTCACGTGTAACTTTAACTTTTTTGTGTTTTTCCGCATTCCTGCCTGTTTTATCGATCGAGCAAATTCTATTATTAGTGTACGCGTTGAAATCAAATTGTGGTAGTTGCAATGACAGAAATGTCATCCGATTTGTGAAACATAATCTTATCATAAGTTATTTATCTATATATGCAATTAGTAGCTTCAAATGTTGTGTCAAAATTACAAACTAAACGAAAAAATGAAAAATGTCTTGTCATAAATTTTCAGTCATCAATTGTTTTTCAAGCGCATCTTCTTCAAATAATTATTGAGGCAGAAAGAGATTATATGTATTTCGATGCTAGGTTGTTCGCACGTAGCCTAAAGCTATGCCGATATTAAGCATTTATGAAGCTTTGCAGATATGAAGCACTTATGAAGCTATGCAGATATGAAGCACTTATGAAGCCATGCAGAAACGTCTCTCACCTCATAAATTGGTGGAAATTCAGCACATACTTAGCTTCAACTTCAGTTTTGAATCGATCTGGTCAAAAAACTAATCCTCAGCTCCAAGAGATAAGTCCAAAAACCGTTCCTCAGCTCTAAGATATAAGTCGAAGCATTATCAGAATCGGCCACATGCCAACATGACCTTACCTTAAACGCCGATGTTTCTATGCATGGTTGCCACATTCTGTTTTTTCAATTAGATTGTCTGGCAAAATTTTATGGGGCGCGTGCCGGAGGCCAACTTCGCCCAACTTCACATTTTAATCATATTCCTTTCCGTTGGTAAGAACGCTAGAGGGAATAGAAGCCTATGAAGTCTAGTTCTCAAAGCCACACCACCTTATGTCCACAGCCACCGCTTAAGCATGCACAAGTCCCAAGTTAAGCGTGATCATACTGAATCTGGCCAAACCTATTCCGGACTAACATCTTCTGGCCTAACCTACACACGTTGCAAGATTTCATTCACACGCGTTGCAACATTTTCAACATTTCTTGCAGTCATTCGTTGCAACAGTCATTGGCTGCAAGAAGGTTGTAAATCGGAGCAGTGTAAATAGGTTAGGCCATAGTAGGTGAGGCCGGATGTAGAACTGACTGCTTATGAGCGAGCATGCTGAAGTTTTGGCTGACGGGAACGCAGCCGTGCACCACCAAATTTGTGCACCAATCAGCCCTGAAAGGAACGCCTAGCATATTTCCGGACGACCACCAATCAGCCGCGTATTAACCCTGTCGTCAGTAACCAGCCCATGACATCATCTTGCTTTAAATATTAGGAGCTTTACGCCACCATATTCTGAAGCGAACAGCCCAGAGAGTAATGGTTGTCCACCGTTGAACGTTGCATCGAATCATCACTTCATACCCTGACTTTAGCTCGAACTGTAACTAGCGGACAACGGACTGCGACCAACCAGCCCAGCTCGCCTGTGGAACTGCAGAGAGCGCAGCCGCGTAGGCCACAAATTTTACTCTTAAGCCCTGGAGCCAACGACTAGCTTCACCATGCATTAACTTTAGGTTAGGCTCACCATACCGCAGACTACGCTTGAACTTCGTAATCCAGACAAGCGACACACTGCCGAAAGATAATAGCGCCGTAGGTCGTAGCCAATGCTTAAGCATGGCAGTTCCTCATCCGGCTGTACCTCCTCCGGCTTAACCTCTTCTGGCCCAACCTATTCACGCTGTCCCGGCTCACATCCTTCTTGCAGCCAATGACCGGCTCTGCCCGCTCTCTTGGCCTGCCTTTCTAATTTCTTGCAGCCAATGAGGTTAGGTTAGGTCCGCTCAGGTTTGTTTAGGGTGGAGAAAGGTTGCAGCTCGTATAACTTAGGCCTGAAGAGTTTAGGCCAGAGGAGGTTTGGCCAGATGCGCCATGTTTTCCTTTGGCAAGCTTATTTTGTGGCTGCTATGTGGACATCCGGCGCTATGGCTTTGAGCACTTGACTTCATAGGCCGTTATGCACTCTAGCGTTCTTACCTATGGAAAGGAATATGAACTAGGTGTGAAGTTTGGCAAAGCTGGCCTCCGGTATGCGCCCCGAACTGCAAGCATCCTGCCGTGCGGCGTGCACCACCAGACGGTCACTTTTAGCTCACAACATCCTGGGTTAGTTTTCAGAAACCATAGTTCTATTCCAAAATCTATCGTCATTTGACGAGCGACTTCCGCAGCTTCGCTTAATTGCGTAACTTTTAGTTCACAGCATCTGGGGTTAGGTTTCAGATAGCATATTTTTTTCCAAAATTTATCGTCGTACGACGCGTGGCCGTTCGACCGTAGGCTGATTCGACACACAGGACAGATACGGACTGCTCCGGCGCGCTCCGTCCGGGTGGTTTTCGCTTATTGGCAGACGATGCTGGGCCATTCTACGTCAGGCTACTTTCCTGTGGGCTGATTGATCTAATTCAATGGATGTGATCTGTCTGGTGGCTTGCGGCTGATAAAGTTACAGTCAAAAAGTGCTATTGGCTACGTTCTGGAGGGAAGGGTTCATGATAGTCCATTCGATGCACGGCAGTGGTGGTCACCGACAGGCGTCCCTTGGCTGACGACCTACGGTGCTATTATCTTTAGGCAGTGTTTTACTGGTGCGGATTACGATGTTCAAGCGTAGACTGCGGCTTTTATCTCTGAAGCTGGGTAAAATTATTGCATGATGAGGCTGAGTGTTAGCTACATGGCTTATTTTAGAGTTAAATTTGTTGTTCACGGCTGCGCCTCCGAATTAATGACGGTGGTATTTAGTTATTATATTGTATAAGGTGAAAAAAATTCATTTGTGCACCTTAACATGTGGGCCTCCTTATGCACCTGAATTGTGGGCATTCTTTTGTACCTGAATTGTGGGTCTTTTTTTTTTTGTATGCGAACTTGGCCGCGTTTTAAGCCATCTAGCAACACTTTCTATGTCATGATATACTGTCTGTGGTGAAATATTTATCTTATTTAACCAGGTGAGTGCCTGGCTGCCACGGGCGCCATGCCTACGAACGTCACTGCCGTTTTCAAGCCTAGGTTCAGCAGGGGCAGCAGGGAGGTGGCGCAGGGCAAACGCGTCTCAGCAGCGACACAATTTTCGCTGTAGTAAGAAATTTTTGATGATACCATGTAAACATATTAAAATTATAGGCAGTATACTTTGATTGACGTCAAAATAGACGGTAAAATTGAAATGTTTACGCTCAATTTCCCTTTTCAAACCATAGAATTTTAAAGAAATGGAGTACGTATATTCATTTAAATGCTGCAACTAACAGTTATTTTTTTAAAATACTACAAAATTCTAACCTTCAGCCTAATTCTCAGTTCTCCAGAATACTTGCTTGATGGAGATAACAACACCTATTACCACTCCACAAATGCACCCAACGCCTGGTTCATGGTGGACCTGGGAGCTTGTTTTCCAGTCAGCAAAGTTCGTCTGCTGCCTAGAGCGGGAAGTGCCTACTACCGATTCGTAGATACTCAGGTGCTGGGACGTTGGAAGGCATAAAAGCTAACGTGTGGTTTGTAGTGTGAGCAAGAAAAAAATTCGTAACACTATAACTACCGCATACTCCGAAACTGGACAAATGTACTACATATCAACAAAGTTTCATATCCAAATACTTTGACAGCGAAAAATACAAGTGTAATTATGAACTCATCGAACAGTTTTCGTCATGAATGTTCTAACAAGAGAGACAATTTATTATACTAAGCCGTTCGACGATAAAAATCCGCCAATCAATCTCTGTTCAACATAATAATTTTAGTAACTCAGTCTCTGTCAAACAGTCGCTCGAGTCATAAAGGCCCTTTTCCACTATTAAGGTGCTTACACACGGGGCGAGTAATCGCGTCGATTAGTCGAGTCGACTCCATAAATATTTGTCATGATTAAGGGGGAGGTCCACCTTCCGAAAAACTTTTTTGTTTACGGACGGATCTTTCTGAAACTTCACACATATATGTAAAACCGCAAAAGAATCACATTTTATTCATGTGATTTTTTCGAAAAAAATGCATAGAAAACGTGAAATTCATAGAAAACGGCCAAGAAAGGGGGTACTTTAAAAATCTATCTCCTCCTAGAGTTTTGAAGCTACAGCGATGAGACATATACCATTCGATTCGTAAAGACCATACAAATCGAGTAACGAAGCTCGATTTTTAATTTTCGCCTTAGTTTTCTTTACAGGCATTAAAAATTTTATTTTTTCTCCAGATTTCCCTCTCCCTTCCCCCCATTTTGAATCCAAACTATGCACAAATCTAAAAAAAGGGCTTCGTTACTCGATAGGTATGATCTTTCCAAATCGAATGGTATATGTCTCATCGCTGTAGCTTCAAAACTCTAGGAGGAGATAGGTTTTCCGTGACAATAAGTTAAACTTTTCAGGAGAGCGCGACAAAGTCCCGCGCGCCTCGAAATAGGCACTCAATGTAGCATGGATACCAAACTACAGGCTTCTGTAGCTTGCTTCCACTCAAGGATGGTGGCAGCGACGTGCAGTACACCTCTCCGTACGAAGCGAGGCGGGTGACTAAGCCTTGATGCCAGAGAACACCATATATGTAGTGCTGGCCAGCTATTTTCGCCCCATCTAATTACTGAAGGAACTCCCCCACCCGCCCCCTTTAAAGAGCCGTCATGAACGTATAAATTCACGTACAGAGATCGCAGTGGTACCGTTCGATAGGGCAGAATGCCAGCTTTAAGATGATACTAAACACCAAAGAAGCCAAATCCGAAGGTTTTAGGGTAGGGTGTCACGTTCATTTCAACGTGTAAAAATAGTATCAATATATCGTTGACCGAGGAGCTCGAGATTGTAACTTTAAACTGTAGAGTAAATATAATGTTAAATGTGTATCGTAGCATGCAAATTATCGACTTGTCTGCTAATTCCGGAAAATTCAAGTCCAGCAGCACCCACGCAGTCCATGCGCGCGCAGTTGAAGTTGGGATCGGCAACGAGAGAAGCTCTGCCAAATTATTTCCGTGTTTATAAGTGTTAAATGTGAAATATGTGCATTTACTGGATGATTGAGTTTTTTATGAGTGAGAAAAAACTGTTTGTGGGAATAGCAGTGATTATTTTCATTCCTGAACTGTTACGTGAAGTTGTATGTCACTTAGTCCGCATGGGCGCCTCTAAGCCAGCGGCATGCCACAGAATGTCTGTTATATTTAAACTTGTTCAATCCATTAATTTGATTTGAATCAACTAAGAAATCCAACTCACAGCGATAATTGTCGTAAACTAGATCTAGTAGTTTCTGTTCTGCCCTAAAAAATAGAAATCTTGTGG